AAACTGATCAGTTTCAGCAGCGGCTGAATCTGGATGCCAGTTCCGACTTACATACAGATTCAACTTAAGAACAAACCTACAGTCCCTATCTTGTACGTAACCTGGGGACTGCCTGTATAGGATTGAGTGTCTGTTGCTTATCATGGAGCAGTTGATGTTAAAAGACTAGAGTCTAATTTGTTGCTTTGTAGAGAGCTTACATCATGGCTCAGTGCTGTTATCCTGCTCTGTTTTCTTGACTGTCGGCTGGAAGCTTTTGAAAACTGTTTCTGTGCTCCTGCAGTGTTACCCAAACAAACCTTGCATGTTACTTTTGTTCCTAAATATAGCAAAAGTTCCCACTGCCAATTTCAAGTTCAAGTGGCGTCCTGCATGGGTCACAGAAAACAGAAGAGCATACGTGCAGTTTAGCTTGTAAAACGTTCTATTTAAAACTCTTCATTATAAGTAGTGCAAGTAGTGATGTCTGTACATTCCTTTATAACACTCATTTTTATTTGCTTGTTACCCTTAAGTGTTAGACCAGGAAAAGAATCCACGCTAGGTTTTTGCCTGCAGCTGACTTGATTTTGAATGATTGAATTAAAATAGTTCAGCCATTAAAGAGAATGAGGTTTAAGAAAAATAAACTTTGCCCATTCTGAGTTTCTTGTACAGGGATGTATCTTTAGGTGCCACTTGCTTCTCTCTTTCAGTCAAGCCATGAGTCTCTCAAAAAAATCCATATTGCACATATTCTAGACTAGTTGGCCTTTAGCAGCTAAATTAGTTCAGCCTTGGTTGCTTGTTCACTCTCCCCTCTGCCTCCTTCCCTTCCCTTCCCTCCTTCTCTCCCCCCACAACCCTCTGGAAGTGAAGAGGAAGAAGCAGCAGCATGAGTTGAGTGAAATGATGTGTTATGGGAGCTAGAGCAGGAGGGTACAAGGATGTGGGGAGGATGGAGGAGAGGCCAGGGTCAGGATTTGGAGAGGGTAAGAAAAAGAGCACAAAGGGATAAAAGTGGGAGTGGGGTGAGATGCAGAAAAAATGTAAATCATAACCACACTTGACTGCAGAACCTCGGCTTAAACCCATTCATTATTCCTTAGTATTAACAAACCTTGATTGTTCCATAGGTAGCTTTGAAACCTGTTTGCTAAGTGGCTCATCCCTGTCTGGTGAACATCAATTCAAGTTAGCTTTCTCCCACAACCAGGTTGTTAGCTTAAGCGGTAGAGGACAATGTGGGTGTAAAGTTCTCTCCTAATAACGCCATGTCAGGGTACTGTGGTTCTACACGATGAAATACTCCTTTTTTATGCCTATTTTTAATTTAAAAAAAAAAGACATGAAAATATTACATCTTCCAAGTCCCAAGTACTCAATTCTGTAAAAGCCTTAATTTGGGCCCTTGTGCATATGTCTTCAATTACTGGATTACAAACTTAGTTTCATAGGACCCCCTTCTAGTGCACAGGACAGACTGAGTTTGTTGGGTATTTATTCATTTTTTTCTGTCAACAATTGCTGTCTGTCAGTATTTACAGCACCCCTTCCAAATACTGAACTAAATACAATATTAATTTGTTTTTTGACTTTTGTATGGTGTGCTCATGATCCTATCCAGATGTTTCATAAACCTTAATGCATTCTATCTCACATAAGTGCAGTGAATGTGAAGTTTCCCCCATTTTATAGCTGGGCACCTGAAACACAGAATAAGGCCAAACTTGTCAAAAGTTGGAGCTAGCTTTGAATGCCCAACTTGAAAACCTTGGAACCTTAATTTTCAGAATATATGGCATTTTGTAAAACTGCATATAGGAACACAGCTCCCATTGAATTCTACTACATGCTGTCAGCTGTTATGCAGATAAGACACAATTGACTCAAGTTGGGTCCCCAACAGATGAGGCTCACCAAATGGCCTTCTGTGAACATTTTACGTGACTTGTCTAGCATCGCAGGGACAGGCACTGAGTTCCATTTTTTAGGGGAACGTTTCAGCTGCCTTACCTGCGGGGCCATTCTTTTTCATCTTGAAGATGCTTTCCTTGTTTGCTGTATGTCTTTCAGTTTCTGATACAGAGGCAGCCACACAGGGTGGCCACAGGTTCCCTGGGAGTGGAGCCGAGAGTGCCCTGGCTGCTGGCCCTGCCCCTAGGGGGAGCATTTTAGTAACTGTGTAAGCACTAGGAATTGTTGCGGCTACACAATTACTAAAATAAACGATTTCTAACATCTCTACTTTGGACTTTAATAGTTAAAAAAGTAACCCAAATGATTGACAATGGTTTTGTGGAAATATGAGGAGCATGTGATGAAATATATAGCTGCGTTGAGCTGAACGGAGGCCCACATTTTCGTCCCATCTTGACAGAAAATGCTGCTCAGACATTAAAATGGTGTGATAGAAATATGCTCTATAATGGATAATCAAACCACTGAGTTTTAACAAATTAACATGACATCACGTGTATAGCAGAATGTCAAACACTTGGAAAGAATGGCCTAGTGCTGTGTAATTGAAATTATTGAACACAAAGCAGTGATGTCAAGTAAAATTGATGGTGAGGAAATAAAAAAAATCCTTCATAGGAAAGCTAACCCTATAGAAAACTGGTTGAATTAAAATGACATTTTTCAGCTGTGTGTAGTAGAAACACACAAACACATCCAAACCTGCACGTGCTTTCTTTGTCAATAGCCGGGACACACGGATAAATGGATGAGAAGCTGGATATGAGTCAACAGTGTGCCCTTGTAGCCAAGAAGGCTAATGGCATATTAGGGTGCATTAGGAGGAGCATTGCCAGCAGAACCAGAGAAGTGATTATTCCCCTTTATTCGGCTCTGGTGTATTATGTCCAGTTCTGGCCCCCCCCACTATAGAAAGGATGTGGACGCATTGGAGAAGGTCTAGCGGAGGGTGACCAAAATGATTAGTGGGCTGGATTGATCAAATCATCTTTGGATGGATGAAATTTTGATACCTGAAAATGGTGTCTAAAGACTGGCATCGGTCTGCAGGAGCATCCCTAGCAGTTTTGACAGTTGGTCTAGAAGACATTTTGAGCACGAGCTCCCAACCTCCACTCCTACTGTTGAGTAGCTGAGCAAAAAAATCAGATAGCTGGGCAATCAGCGTGATTCAGAAGAAAAAGCGGAGTGACAAAGCAGTACAATAGTGCTTCAGTGGCATCCTGGGTGATGGCTGTGCTCATCTGACCCTAGAACAGGGGTGTGCAATAATTTTTGATGGGGATGGGCACTCTCAGAATTTGGAAAGCAGTCAAGAGCTGCACTATTCCATATTAATGGAAGAGATGCGGGGTCTGAGATGGAGGTTGTGTGCTGAAGAAAGCTTGCAGTAAAGGGATTGGGGTGCAGGAGAGTGTAAGGTCTGGGAGGTAGTAGGGGTGAAGGAGGTAGTTGTGACCTGGGGAAGGGGACTAGGATGCAGGAGGGGGTGGAGCAGTTTGGGTTGTTACCTAAGACAGGAGGGGGCTATGACCTGGGGCAGGGATTGAGGTAAAGGAAGAGGATAGAGGGTTTGGGTTATGTGGGGTAAGGGGGCAAAGGGTTGGGGTGCTAGAGGCAGGCTCTGGCTGGGAGACTTACCTGCTTGACTCCTTCAGCAGACTCCCTGCCTGCCCTGCCTCACCCCCGCATTGGCTGCAGGGGCCATGCGGTTTTTGAACATCTGTGAGCCTCAGTGGAGGGGCGGGAAGGGTGCTTTGCTGGAAACTGGCCAATGGGATTCTGCTGGGGGGTGGAAGCAGTGTGTGAAGCACCACTCTTCCCTCCCCTAGACTCACAGCTGTGAAAGAAAAATGGCCAGGGCAGCTGCTTTTTTGAGTGGTGGTGGGGCAAGCAGGGAATCTGCCTGAGGCTCCTTGCTGTGTCCACAGGCTATCTGGCGGCTTGGTGGGCTGGATCTAGCCCATGGAGGGTGTTTTGCCTAGGCCTGCCGTAGAACCAACTCTGGCACAAAGCTATTTAAGCAAGGTATACTTTCAGGGCCAAATAAACTCTTCTGTGGGCCAGGGTGTCAAGCCACAGGGTTGTGGATTTGCTTCAAGACAGAGTCGATTAGTGATAGTTGCTTTTATTAATCTCACCTCTTCACTACTGTTATAGTCTTAATATTGCCAGATGGTTACATAGCTACTGCAAGGTAATACAACAATCAGCATAGGCAAAGCAATGCATATAAGAGTAACAGGAACTTGGAAATGCTTACTCCCGATTAGGTCTGCGGGGAGTCGCGTTCCAGTTACCACGCACCTGGCCGCAGTGGACCTAGCTCCAGCTAGGGGGATTCAGGACACCCTTTGAGGTTTAGGTTTCTGGTGAAACTCAGAGGGGTGGGACTCCCAGTGATCTTATACTACAGTTGTTTGCCAGGTGTGCATATACCTGGTTCAGCGCCATTCTTACCACTTTTATGGCTGAGACCAAGGTCAAATGTGTTTACTGCTCAGTACAGGCAGTCCCCGGGTTACGTACAAGATAGGGACTGTAGGTTTGTTCTTAAGTTGAATCTGTATGTAAGTCGGAACTGGCGTCCAGATTCAGCCACTGCTGAAACTGATCAGCGGCTGATTCCAGGAAGCCCGGGGCAGGGGCTTCCTGTAGTCAGCCACTGGTCAGTTTCAGCAGCGGCTGACTTGGGGACGCCTGGGGCAGAGCAGCTGGGGTCCTGCCGGGTTGGTCCAGTAGCACCAAGGAGCGGTGCTGCGGGACCAACCAGCAGCGCCCCACCTGCTCTACCACAGGCCCGGGGCTTTGCTCCACGTCTCCCTGGTTTGCTGGGGGGGGGGGGGGACCACTAGCTGCGCCCCCCCCCCCCCCCCCCAGCAGACCAGAGGCACCGGGAGCAAAGCGGCAGCGGCGGCGGAGTCCCGTGACTCTGAGGCTTTTCCAGAGCAAAGCCTTGGAGGTGCGGGACCCCTCCGCCTCCCCGGCTTTGCTCTGGGTGTCCCTGGTCTGCTGGAGACAGTCCCCAGCAGACCAGAGGCACCGGGAGCAAAGCGGCAGCGGCGGCGGAGTCCCGTGACTCTGAGGCTTTTCCAGAGCAAAGCCTTGGAGGTGCGGGACCCCTCCGCCTCCCCGGCTTTGCTCTGGGTGTCCCTGGTCTGCTGGAGACAGTCCCCAGCAGACCAGAGGCACCGGGAGCAAAGCGGCAGTGGCGGAGATTAAGGTAAGAGGGAATTCTGTCCTGGAGCAAGGGGCTGGAGTGCAGGAAGAGTGTGAGGTGTGTAATCAGGAGGTGCTTACCAAAGGCGGCTCCCAGCTGGCGGCACAACAGGGCTCAGGCAGACTGTCTGAATGCCATGGCTCCATGCCATTCCCAGAAGCGTTTGGCTGCTGGCATGTCTTTGCGTGCCCCAGTGGAGACAGTGCTGGTGGCAGAGTTGTGCATGGAGTCTCTTCTCTTCCCTCCCTGCCCCCAGAGACATGTCAACAGTTGACTGCTTCAGTGAGCAGTGTAGAGCCCTGACATACAGGCAATATGCGGGAGCCCTATTGCACTGCTGGATTTTTAGCAACCCTGAGATTTATTTTTACTTGGGCCCTGCAGCCCCTAAAGCTCCTGCATTAATCCAGCCCTGTACACTTTAACACATTGTATACCTGAAGTTGACTACAGATGGTTTAGTGCTTGTCTTAGGTTGGCAGAGGTTTGATTGTTTGTTATAAACTGAAGAAACAGCATGATACGCAAACTAGATTTGAGGGACCTTGATGGGGAGTGGAAGTAACCAGCTTTTGGCCTAAACAATGTCATGGTGACTTACTGACATCAACACATTTAGGCCTGTGCGAAGGGCTTGTTGGTGCCAACAGATGGAGCATATAGGTTACAGGGATCCTTGGTGTCTGGTATTTATTTTCTAGTTAGTGTCCTGTAAAATTTCTGCTGAAAGCCTATGTCACACTTGTAGTCATAATATTTGCAAAATATATGTGAGGAGTGGGATGTGTGTGTCTAATGCAAATTATGTTTTTAATCACTTCGTTTCAACACACTCCCGTACAGACTCCCTAGCTTACTGTTATGAATTGTGTGTCTGACAATAAAAGTCTGTTTGGCATACCGAGTTGAATGCTAATGAAAACTTAGAGATGTCAGAAGGCAGGCTAGTGGGAAGAGGTAAGCAGTAATAGGTGGAACCCTTCTTTTTACATATGAAGAATAAAGGACTGATCTGCAATATCTGGTGGTGCAGAGAAATGCTCTGACATCTTTCATTAAAAAAACAACAACAAATGGTCTGGTAGCACTTTATAGACTAACAAAACATGTAGATTACCAGTT